ATCGGTTAATTTAAATTTGATCAAAACCTAACCTAATCTACGTAACAACTAGGTCAATAACCCACATCCGTCTCATTCTGCGGATAACGCAAACAGGTTACCTGCCAGTCTATAATAACGTAACCAAGTTGTCAACTATCGTTACTGTCAGTTTATTCAGTCAGAATATCCATTTGACTGCATGAATTAATTAAAAAGAACGACCGAGGAAGACTAACACAGCACGGTATTAACCGACGAACAAGGGGAGCGCGTTACTCGAGATGCCCAGGTGTCTACTGGAAACTGAAATTATTCTAATATAGCGCTTCCGTGGTGAAATACAGTACCTTTGGAGGATCAACGAAGCGTCAACGGGTTACGTAGGAACCAAGAAATGTTTCTTGCCTCGAGACGTGTACCGTGTTTAAAGCGTTCCTTACACGATGAGAGTTCGCCTCTCGAGTGATGGGTTTAAGACAGATTGGAATTGTCTCGAATCTCTGCTCGAAATAATTCCGGTCTTGAGTTATATCGAATGGAACACGTATACACGCGGAGACAAGCGATGGGTTTAAGATTCGAACTTCGAAACATTCGTTCAAGGAAGATCTTTCGGATGGGTTATTTTTTTGAAACGAAATAATATCAATGATGAGGGGGAGTACTAAAAAAATTTGCAACGATCGAATCATCATGATTGAATCAAATATGATCCAAAATAATTCCAATACGATGAAATTTGGATGAAACACGATTTGAAATAATTTTAAATTGTTTTAAGCGTGAGATTTATTTCGAGTGATGGGTTTAAGAATCTCTAGTCGATTCAAAATAATTTTGAATATAATTTTGAATTCCTTGTACGATGAAATTTGGATAAAACACAATTTGAAATAATTTTAGATAATTTTAAACTAGTGAGACTTATTTCGAGTGATGGGTTTAAGAATCTCTACTCGATTCAAAATGATTCCTCGTAATCTTGAGTGCCTTGTACGATGAAATTTGGACAAAGTACACAATTTGTAAATAATTCCAAAGAGTTTTAAGGTCACATGCGAGACTTATTTCGAATCTTTGCTCGTCGCACTATTTGATTCAAAATAATTTCAACTAAACTTAAGACATCCTCTGTATAGATGAGAAAAGCGATTCAATCGAATGATACAAAAACTACAAAAGGATATTCATGAAATTCAAAATATCCATGCACATTAACAACCAACATCTCTATATTGAACAACTTACATCAAACTAAAATCAAAGACACGAAAAATTCTTTCTCACCTTTCACGAAAGTTCATCTCACAAATAATAATAAAAAATCCACATGACATCGTACACATCGGGCGTCACCGATATTATGAAATATCGCTTAAACCCATCACTCGCCTCGAGGCAAATCTCATCGCGCAGAGGGCGCTTTATCGCCTCCGGTCTAGGGGAAAATTGTAGCCCGGCTCGGAATCGTTGGAAATTGAACGCGCTCGTCCCCGTCGAATACGCTTTGCCCAGTTGACGTCTACTACAATGCCAGTCAACTTCCGCCAAAACCCTCCTTCACCCCTTCGAACACCTTGGCCTTTCTCATTGAGGAGAAATTCCGAATTGTAGAGGGAATTCCACCCCATCTTTTCAACTTTTGCGACTGGTTTTTTTAATTCCCATTTAAGGAGGAAGGAAAATCTGTTCAATTTGAATGGAATCCAGATGGATTTGATTTGGGGGAATTCTTTCGTTCTATCGGAGTTGTTTTCAAGTATGGTGGGACCAGATGTTTTAAACGGGAAATTAATTAAGGCGTTGATTAATTTGATGCTCGAGATCGAGAAATTTGAAACTCGTGGTTGTACAAAATTTATTTTTTAGAGAAAAATAGGAGAAGTGGAAGTAAGGGAAAAATAAGTAGAGAATTTTTTTTTTTGTAATTATTTCTTTATAAAATAAGTGGATCGATAGTTAGTGTAGGATATTTTCTTTTGATGCTTGAGAACGATCCATCGTATAATTTTGAAGAGATTGAAAATTTAAAAATTCATGAAACATGGTTGATAGTATTGAGTATGAGGAAAAAAGAGTAGGAAACATGGGATAAAAAGAAAATCGAATTTTTTTAGAAATTATAATTTTTAAATATAATTATTATTCTTTTGAATAAATTATTTTGTTGGTAAATTAAAATTATTTAATAAATAAATTTGATTTCTTCATTACAGCTCTTTATAAAAATTTGTTACGAAGATCTCAGTTTGTTTTCATTATCGATCTTTATCGAATATTTATATTCTTTTTTTTTAGTTTTCTATTTGATAATAAACTTCTTCTTTTCACATATCTAATATACTATATATATATACTAATATTTAAAATTTCGATGTATCTCTGTTTTAAAACGCGTGTCTGCGATTTTTTTTTTTTTTTTGAGTAACTACGCGATTGTATTTGTTAATCGATAAGGGGATGAACAAACACGTGGGCACCACGTTGTTTAAATCACAGTGTTTGCGATCACGGATCTATCGTGTTTATCTTCGACCTAGACACTGGTGTTTGATAATTGTCTGATGACGAATACACTTTCTATATATTTGTTCGTATCATCTATATAGAAAGTTTTTCCACAAAAGGAGAGAATGCATTTTATTGCATCAATGAATATATTAAGAATATATTACAATACATATATATGCATATAAAACAAAGTTGGAAATATTTCAATTTCATGCAAACCATTGACTTAAACCCATCACTTAAATCAATGCAATATGCTTCGATCTACATCAAATTAGTTTTTATTTAAAAAAAAGAAACTTAACTCTTTCGTTACCATATACATACATAGATGGAAAATATTCCACTGATTCCAAGAAAAAAAAGTCAAAATTATTTTTAAACAGTTCCACATAAAACTTCTCCATTCCCATCGATTTAAACCCATCACTTAAATCAATGCAACTTGCTTCGATATCTACAGGCTACATAAAATTAGTTTTCATTTAAAAAAGAAAATTCTTTCTTTATCACATAAAAAAAAAATCAAAATACTTTTATAGACTTCTCCATCCTCATAGCAAAAAGTTTCAACTCAGTCTATACAATTATACATATATTCTCCATTCCCATAACGAAATAATAATACTATAAATAGTGAACAACATCCACCAAAGAATTCTAAACAAAAAAAAAAAAAACCAAAATCACTTTCTCAAAATTCCACAGTGAAAAAAAATTCCAAACAAAAAAAAAAAAAAAGCC